GTACAACTCCCCAAAGCTTTAACTGGGCTACTACAGGAAAAGCAGAATTGGGTTCCCAGGGCAGACAGGCACAAACCACATCTGTTCCCAGACACACCAGAATTAACTAATGAGATGCCGCTGACTGCACTATTTGCATCCAGACTGGCAGGTCCTGCCTACACAACATGAAATAGTGGAGACTCATTTCTGGGATTTGACATATGGCCCGTGGTGGAGTCAAAGCCCTGTTTTGTGCCAGGTTCTGCAAATATCCACTACATTTCACAAGGAAGACAGAGCTATGCGAACAGTATTTGTTAAGCTAAAATCTGGTCCACCAAACCAGGGCCGGTTTGTTTGACAAACCTGATCATGTGTCTCTAATGGATAAACATGTAAAGATGCAGAAAGCTCAAGCTGAACAGATTCATGGGCAATATGTACTATTGTTTGGACAGAAAAATGAAACCAGGTTAGTAATAGCACTCAGACTGATTTTAACCTGTAGCTCATGGAAAACAGTGCTTTTGTTATGGAAATGTTGATACAACCTTAACTGTAACACTGCTACTGAAACAGTTTTAAGTAAGCTCCACCAAGGAGTGTTTGGTAAATGAGTAATGACTTTGCTTCAAGCCAATCAAGTGTGTTAAAAAAGATGAAATAATGCTGGAAGGCAGTGGGAGGTAGAGGAGCCTCAAAGTGCAAACAGGTGCTGATCTCCCTTCAGGGGGGATTGAGTGGCACAGACCTTACAGGCCTGTCACTTCTGATCAAAGCAAGCTCCAAGACCACATAATCACCATCACCCACCTTTTAAAGGATGCCCTGATTTATCATCTGTCAGCGTTAATAACTTGGCTACTCTGTCTAAAATACTTAAGAACATTACACAAGGATAACATTTCAAATTTTTTTTTTAAGAAACGTGTAAATGTTTTAAACTAAAACACACTGAAGCTCCTGCTTTGAGGCCATCTGCTGCAGGAGACCACCTGTCATCAAAAGACCACCTGAGCACATAATATCCCATCATTACAGAACTATCCCCTTGAAGCCATGGATTTTAAGTGTTAGAATAAGAAGGGTGTATGTTACAGACACTGTTGTTACTGGGCTTTTCATACAGTCTGAAGCCACGGGGTGACAGCCATATGTGAATAATGGCTTCATAATAACATACATATGAAATGCGACTTTGGGAAAAATCTGATAAGAGATCTGAACATTCCTTGTCTGAGCTCCTCGCATCCTTTCAACCACGGTGCCTGCACTGTACTATTCAAAATGGCCTAATACATCACCTACAACTAAACCTTGGAACTACTGAGCGTAACTCTATTTCTAGCTATAAGAAGCATCAGCATTTCACTGAGAAACAAGACTTAAATTGTTGTAAGGAGAATTTTATGGGGTTTTTTTTCTGAATCCCATTTCCCCCTGCTGATCTTTTCAAGAAACAAAAGTGCTCTCTCAAGCTACCCTTCCCAAAACTAAAAAAGGAACTTTCTGCCTTTCTTCTACCTGGCTCTAACGCACACATCTCTACCTGAACGTTGAGACATAATTTACATCGTCATAACCTACACAGTTTGAGGCAATTTCTGCTCTCATGGGAAATCTACAGCTCTGGCGGCAAACATCTGATTCTTGATTAACAGAACCAAGATATTTGAGATATTTTTATCTGATAAATGCCACCGGACTGTGATAAAATATCCTTTCCAGAAGGACGTTCTGGACTTGCATTCCTTGTGAATATAGCCACAGACAGACACTTTTCTTAAAAAGGCTACTGATAAGCAAATACTCAGTAGGCCTTGACAGTACTTAGAGAAAAGTCCTATAAAATTCAACAAATAAAAATATGATCATGATTTTACTAAAATATTAAATTGCTGTGAAAGGTAAAGAAGTTTAATATAGAATATGTAGTATTTTATTAAAGACTTCTTTGTTTTTTTCATTCTATCATCATTTAACTAATGTGCAGACTTCTAAGACAGGAATAAAATTATCTGTTAAAGTATTAATAACTTTGTATTAAAATCACCGAAATGTTGTGACAATAAGTATATCACTTTCCCTTAACGGTTGTAAGACTCCAATTCCTTAAGCAGCAACCGCAGTATTAAACTGTTAGGATGGTAAGGAGTTATGGGACAGTAAGCAGCACAATTTCTGAATTAATCCACTCTTGAGATGTCCTTCAAGACAATCATTATACTCTGCTGCATGTACAGTACAATAGTCCTGATGTAATGAAATCAGCGTCATTAAATACTTGAAGAATCTAGATTGCTTACCAGTTCAAAAATAAAAAAAACCCCTAAATACTTGCAAAGCTGTAATAAAATCTAAATACTTAGTTTACAGTTTAGCATTAACCTATTTGTAACATGATGCACATAGCCAAGCATCCATATTTGGTATTTTCATAGAAGAACTTGCAGTTCTGCCCTGGTGACAATGAAGAGCCTAAGCTGACAACTGATGAAACTCAGAATGGCAGCAGGAATTCAGCCACTGCTAAACATCTTTCTTCATCTTTTTCCCCTCTTCCAGGATCCCAGTAGCAGACTCTAAAAATACATGACCAACAACCAAAGCAAGTCATTTTCTAACATCTACAAAAACTGTGATTATTTCAGTGGCTGATGTAGTTCAGAATGAAGCCTGAAATAATTCTCTAAACAAATCTGTCACCAGCAAATCCAGCACGAACCTTTAGGTATGTCAGAGATGAGATCTGTGTGAAGCAGATCTGTTACTGGCAAGGTGACACGCATAACAACAAAACACCCATTTGAAGGATTCCTGCAGCAATTTGTCATACACAGATTACTGAAAAACTTTGTATTCCTTGGGATCTAATGTAATTGTTCTCAACTAGAACATGCACAGATGCAAAGGCATTAACTCAGTAGTTTCAGAAGTGGATTTGTTCAGTGCAGCGTCCTGCCTTGGTGCCAGCAGGGTGTGCTCCGGCAGGATTAACTTCCAGGGCGTCTGGAGGCTGTGTGTCCAACACAGGTACACAGGCACAAAGGAGGACAAATACATTAAAGATAAATTTCATATTGAAAGCTGCTTTGCATGTGTGCATTTTAGACCTAAAGATTATTAATAACGCCTGCAACATCCTTTTTGTCATTCAAGTTCCTAATCATTGCTAGGAACGTTTAAAAAGACTACAAGACATAAATTTATCTGTAGCACTGCAGAGAAATCGAAAACCCAAACCACTAAGAAAGATCCTTGTTACAAAGTTCCTAGCCACAAGATGATCCTCGATTTACCAAAGTCCATTAAGACCTCTCTTCTTTCTGGGCTGAGATACCTGAGAAAGGGTTTTCTAGCACAGCCTGTGAGAAAGTCGGGTTATGTTACTATCTCGCCAGGTGATCAGTCTGTTAGTTAACAACACAGAAAACTTCAGGTGCATACACAATCATGCTCCGCTAAAAACTTTTTAAAATGTATTTACAATTCTAACCTTATCAGATAGCTTTCCTAAAGTAGCATTCACATCCTGGATTTGTATTTCCCCTCTTTTTTCTCCTGATCTTCCCAAAGTCCCAGATAATCGTGATGCTTTCAGTAGTGTTAGCAGAGAAAACAAAATCCCCGAAGAGCCCGAATTGTATTCAAGCGGAGCTGAAGCCAGGCAGCAATCTTTAACATGCTGAACAGACCCTATGCAAATTTTGAAGGGGTGTTAACCGAGGATCATTGTTGTAATCTCAGCGCTTTGTAAACACGGTACTACTCTACATCGCCGCAGCTTCTTTACATCACTAAAGCTTCTGACCACTTCTCTCAGCTGCAAAGGCTCACAGAAAGATGCAACTTCAAAACCCACTTCTTTAATTCCAACTTGCGATTTTTTTCTTGAGTAAATTATTGCTCTGTCTGCTTATACTTGCAGGCAAGTATACCAACAGCTACTATACCCACAGTGTGCTTTTATCAGGTAATTGAGAAAACAAGTTTATTAACCACAAAGCACATCAGAGAAAGTTTAGAACACACAAAATTATCAAACTAAAGAACATATTTTATTTTTAATAAAATAGTGGAGCATGAAAAATAATTGTATATTACAAATATATACAGCACAAAACTGTGCACCCCCGGCGCAGTAAAGAGCATCACTCTATACAAAGCTTCCCTTTGCAGAATCTAGTGCTTCTTGATCTATTCATGGTGAGAATTTGTTTAACAATAGAAAGAGTCAATAAGCCCTTTGGGTCTCTTTGAATTGATCCCCCTCTTTTTTTTTTGCACAAATCAGTCCAAACGTGTATAACATTGGCTTGATTTCCATTAAAAAGCCACAAAATGTAACACTAAAGGGTTTCTGAGGACTAGACCTCTTAGTTCTTTTGTTAAGAGATTTCTTTTGTTGTCTTTATGTACAGCAAAATACTTGTTTCTCTTTTCATGTCATGGTAGGAAAAAAAAAATGTATTGCACATTATTCTTATTTACAAAGTTTGTGTCTGGTGCAGGAAGTTTCTCTTTTAGTGAAAGAATATTGGTGAGCATTATAGATTGAACCTATTTTTAGGCACTCCAAACCCACTAGGCTGAGATGAGTGGTAAAGGATTTCTCTCTTTTTCCTTTTTAAAGTTAGCATGGAAGTTGCTTTCCCAGATCGCATACTCACTGAGGATAGGCCTCTTCAGGGCCTCAGTTTCCCTAAAGAGACAATGCTCACTTGGGCACTTTTAAAATCAAATCATTGCTCCATAAAATTTTACTATACCTTGTTATTCAGAAACCTGCAGAAAATCCAGCTCAGCTACATGAAAAAGTTAAATAGGGTGTTGTTTTAAAACAAAATAAATCTGAGGGCTTAACTACAAATTAGTAACAGAAGAGGCTGTTTTAATTCACAATATTTCTTTCACTGAAAACCTTTCCATAAGTACATTTACCTTCAATTTTTCACCAGGTCCTGAATTCAGCATGATACATTTTTTGCCTTGAGATATTAAACTGTTCTGACAAAAAAAGCACCATTTATTTTTTAACTTCTGACTGCTACTGTAGACATCTGTAAGTCTGTAAGGTGAAACAGTCTCTTCTAAAACGTGGTCACACACAAGTGGGTGGCTGTAATGTCGATTCATATTTTGCAAGATGAGTTTTCTGTGGATGCTGAGGTTTTTTGTAGATTCCACTACTTGTAATAACACTTGCAGGTTTTCTCCTACTTCTCTTCTTTAATCTTCGACTACAAACATTTTGCCAGGACTGAAGAGTCTTGGAAGTCCAGATCCACATACCACTAGTAATGCCCACAACTAATAACATGAAGATTTTGACCATAAAAATTTCTACTGCTGGAATGGAGTTGTTCATCGTGCAGTCTAAGTTTTTAGTCTGATTGTTCATCTTGCATTTCTGTTGAGTTGCCACAATTTTCCAATAATCCATGTTAAGTCTTTCATAAAAATAGCAAGCTATCACACAAGTTGCAGGCACTGTATACAAGACTGAGAAGACACCAATCCTGACCATAAGTTTCTCCAACTTGTCAGTATTTTCTCCACCTGTTTTCATCACCCTCCTGATATGAAAAAGGGCCACAAAACCAGAAAGAATAAAAGAAGTGCCAATGATTAGATAACAAGCCAAAGGAATGAGTACGAACCCTGTCAAGGCATTCACATCCATGCTTCCAACATAGCACAACCCTGTCAGCTCATCTCCAGCCACCCTTCTCATGACTAGGATCATTATGGTCTTCACAGCCGGAATGGCCCATGCTGCCAAATGAAAGTAGCTACTGTTTGCTTCAATTGCTTCGTGCCCCCATTTTTTCCCAGCTGCCAGAAACCAAGTTAAAGTCAAGATTACCCACCACAAGGAACTTGCCATACCAAAGTAATACAGAACCAGGAACACAATGGTGCAGCCAGTGCTCTCCAGTCCCTCCTGGATGACGTAGAGTTGGCCGTTGTCCCTGTCACAGGCAATACTTTCAGCACCTGAAAAGAGGCGAATAATGTACCCCACTGAGTAGACACAGTAGCACATTGAGAGGAAGATAATGGGCCTCTCGGGGTACTTGAAACGCTGAGGATCTATCAGAAAAGTAAGTACAGTAAAAGCACTGGAGAAGAAGCACAGAATGGACCAGATGGCAATCCAAATGACAGCAAATTGTTTGTCATCCTTGCTCCAGTAAACATCAACCCCTGGAGTGCAGAGCGGCGCGCAGGAAGCGCTCTTTTCCACATGGTGGAACTTGCCAGGATTTTCACAGGAGGTTCTGCTGAGGCTGTCCTTGTGCTGCTGCAGCTCATGGCCACTGCTGGGCCGCTGGGGACGAAACATGGGTGGCAGCATGCTGGATCCTCTGGGTGGCTCATCCGATCCGTTGTTGGGGGCTTCCATGCACAGGTAATTGGGGTCATTCTTGTTGGGCAGTTTGCTGCAGTCTAAGGAGTCTGGCCATTTAAAATTGAACTGCTCCATGATAGGAGAGCATTTCAGCCTCGCCTGCTCGCACATAACCCTGCAGGCAGGGATCGGTGTAGAAACCTGCTCAGTGCACATAGGGGCATAGAGGGAGCAAAGGAAGAATTTCAGATGGCCGTGGCAACCATACTCCACCAAGGGGGCAAACTCGTGCAGCTGAATGGCAGCTTCCCGTTGGTTTTCGTGTCCCATCAGGTTCGGCATCCTCGTCATGTTGTACCCTATATCCTTGCACATGGGGATTTCTATGGGCTGGCACCTCCCGTCACCGGGGCGGTCAATGTCTATGGAGCTGATCCCGGTACAGAAGCAGGTCAGCCAGCACAGCACCAGGAGAGTGTGGACGAAGTTCCCGGTCGCCGGCCCCATTGTGGCG